AAGAAATACTTATGTGTCGGAGAAGGCATTATTTTTTTATGTAATCTCCCCTCCCTTTGGAAAGAAAAAACAAAAAATATTGCTGCGGATAACTTTTGYATTGGCTGAAATTTTTCATTAGAAACAAACAAGCACATCAATGCACACACTATCAATCAAGCCCAGTGACTTGCCCAAAGCCGCAAGGACAAAAAAACAAAGCGAAGAGCCGAGTAGTTGGATCTTCTCATCCCACGTTCTGCTCTGACCACTAGACCTTGCAGCTTCCAATTAGCAACAAGAAGAGATCCACCAAAGATAAGTGGGCTCAGCTCAGTCTCTGACTTTACTAAACTTTGCCTGAAAGTGGTTATGTGGGTGGTGCAGAATTTGTCAAACAAGATGTTCACAAAGATCTCCCCAAGCACAGCTGAGAAAAAAATGAAGACAACCCTACCATAAAGTGACACATAATTCAGCTCAAGTGAAACATACTGATGCAACAGCTGAGAATAACTCATTCCCCTTAGGCAAAACTCATCCAAAAAACTAATAATGAAAACTGGAGGACTCCAAACCATTATTTCTACTTTCTAGGCCAGCAGCAGGGATAGCTTATGTGGTTAGCAGCTGACTCTTGAATTTTATTCTTATTTCCACCACTAACTCATTGTATGATCTTGCAGCTATGCTGTTCTGGGACTCAGTTTATCTACYTTTAAAATGTGGATATAAGTTGATTGTGCATCTTATATTATCTTTGACTGGTATGCACAGAATATTCGGAATAAATGCGGGGAAGGCTAGTTGTTGAGGCAGACAGTAGCATCCTATTCAGGGCATTTTCTTTTTTGGTCTGTGATTTAGAAGGAGATAAAAGAGGGAGCCTCCCAATGTGCATGTGCACATGATGCATGTGGAGATTAGGAGGGAAGGAAATGAAAGGAAGGAAGGAAGAAATGGAGAGAAGGAAAGCAAGAGGAGTGATTTATGCTGCTAATCCTATTCGTGATGTTTGGAGAGCTGTCTGGGGACGTGGTGCCTGGGCCTTGCAGCAAGCTGGCCAGGAGCCAGCTCCACGCTTGCCCGGTGGCTGCAGAGGACGGCTCGGAGCCGCGTGCACCACGTTGCATTAACACCAGCAAGGGATTGGTGTAGGCCTGGGGTGGAGGCTGCTTCAGCTTGCACTGCTGCCAAAAAAATAATGCTTAAGCTACGAACATAATGTCATTACATTCCCTGGCCTCCGCGGGTGTAAATCACTCAGTGCCGGGAAGCTGGGGCAGCTGACACCCAGTGGGAGCACGTCCCTGGATCACAGGGAGCTACCTGCCCTTCAAGGCACTTCCTCAAGGACCACATCTGCACACCTATTTGTTCGGTGCTGGTGGCTTCAGGTTAAATTTCTTAATCAGTAAAAAAAAATAAAGCACCCCTTCAATMCCTGGCAACTGAAAGTGGGATGAACCTGTTGATCAGAAGGACTCGGGATTTCAACATGTGTAAGGTAACACATGTTTTTTCTTGCAGAAGCGTGACATGTAAAACAAGATAACTTGAGCCCCATGAGCTATGTGGGAGACAGGGCCCAAAATTCCTCGTGTTAGGAAAAGAAGTCAGTGCTTTAAAATAGCCCATTTTCCCTTGCGCTCTGATCCGCACTTTGGGAAAGGAGTATTAGTGCACCTCTTTCTTGGAAGGTCCTTGAATTCAGATGAACTGCCCAAACCGGTTACTGTTGGCTTGTAGAAACATCGTGGACAGCGATATTTATGATTAGTCTGACAGGCTGAGTAATTGCTTTGCTGCTAAAATGCTAAAAGCAATGGAGCTGGGTTTTCAAAAGAGGTATTTCATTAGAGCTTCCTAAATAAAATAACTGGGGGAAGGATACTAGAAAATGGAGCTGATGGCTGGACTTGTCTTAATATGCTTGCATGTAAATAAATAAATAAATAAACACACACACATATATGTATATATGCATACATATATGCGTGTATATACATGTATGTGTGAGTATGCATATACACATATATATTAGTGCAGCTCAGGAAAATGAAGAAAGTAATCCGTTTAGATTTAAGCTTGCATTTCACAAATCTTCTTGCACATGTTCATTACTACTAATACAGTTAGACCCATAATTTAATTAGTAGTACGCATATGCAGAAATATATTTTCAGGGATCTGAAATATGAAGATCTGAAGAGTTATACTTGGAACATTCAGTGTGTTTGATATCAGGAACCTACAGCTTTGWCTATTTACTTTTAGGCGTAGATTGATAGTGAAAATATTTCATCAGACATCTGAGTTTCACACAAGCATTGATGACTTTTCATTCAGATATCTTATTCATTACAGCACATGTGGATGTGGATATGTGGATGTGGATATAGATGTGAAGTCTCACATCCAATATGCTTTCAACAGTAACTAAAGTGGCCATTGTGGAATTAAGCAGATGAACTATCCAAGGGTCTCATCTCCCATTTCCTAAACACTTATGATTCTAGGACAAGGCTTTGAAAGTATGATCTAATAAGCTTGTGCTATATCCTGTGCTATATCCCAAGCTATATCCTGCTTAGGAGTGACAAAGTTATCTTTGTTTATATCAGCTATTAGGTGAGATGCAGCTCAGCTTGGCTTTTAAATGAGCTGAAACTCTAAAATATTAGCACAAGGCAAGTGTTGATTTGAATCGGGTTCATGAAGCTGAATTCTTTGCTTGATGAGTCCTGAAGATGTTTCTAATTGGCGTGATCAGATGGACACTACAACTGCCTGGGCAACAGTGGTCAATGTATGTGCAGTGCTCAACCATGGGAGTTTCCTTCGGTAGCTGGGTGTGTGGCCCTGCTAGATTAACAGCTCACGTGTGTGTTGACGTGGAGGTTTTCATGGAATTGTAACCTCAAGGCCCAGACTGTATGAATAATCAATAACCTTCTTCTCATTCAGGTAGGCCTTTAATGCASTGCCTAGGAATTTACCGTAGGCTCTTATTAATGGAAACACATGGTTAAGTCGTGTCCAATCATCCTACTCTGGAAATGGGTCTCCAAGGAGTACTTCTTTTTCTTAAAGGGATTTCCTTCACTCTTGGTTCACAGACTGCTCTTTGTTGAGTTTTATGGATACCATCCACGCTTCTGAGCTGCCACAGCAGCAAATATATAATTACTGCACAGGAAATAAACTATTGTCTAAGTTTTGGGACAAGAACTGCTTTTGTATATTCATGACTATTGCAAAACCACTAAGTAGTCAAGTTAAACACAGATGCTTTGGCCATCCYGATGTGAGCTGTTTCTGGGTTATTTTGGCAGGTTTTGAGCTAAGGAGTAACCGAGACTGCCTAAAGTCTGGCTGTGCCTAACTCTGCTCCAATCTATGGCTTCGAATGTCATGCTAATCTCATTGGGCACTTAAAAGACACAGAGAAGAAACATTCCTGCTATAGATTTGGCAAGGACTGGTTTTATCAAAGCCAGCAGATGGGGGATAAAGTACTGCTGTCCAGATTTGGTCTTGAGAGGCCTGGCAAATCTGCTCCATTCTCAGAGACGTTAACATAGTTAATACAGAAACATTCATGGGTGGTGAATAAATGGGACAAGAACTTAGGATGACTTCATCCTTTTTCCTATTATTACCAGGTATTCGGTAATAGCACTTACAGCCTCTAACCAAGACTGAGACCTGCTGTGCTAGCACTTGTATGGACAAGTAAATTGACACAGTTCTGGCCCTGAAAGATTTAAACTGAGATCTTGAAAGCAAAGTAATTTTGGCCTCAAGGATGGCATAACAAGCAAAGAACAGTAGCAGAAGAGGGAGGTGAAGTGACTTGTTCAATGTAAGTCTTCTGACTCCTGTTCTGCCAGTTCAGTTATCCCTGGATTATCCACTACCACAAAGGGGAAGTAACTTAGTGGAATTAGAAGTAGAAGTTGCTGTAGTCCCTCCTAGCCTACAAAGTTTTTAGATATTAGGTATATCCTAGATATACCTAAAATCTCATACCATTCAAAATTCCAGCTTTTTGCAGATTGTTTTTATTTTGTATCTCTTCTTCTCATCCCACTCTTTCAGAGAATTAAGATACATAGAAAAGTGTACTCTAAGTAACAAAAGTTGCTTCATAACCTGAAAGTGATTTTTGATTTTGAGTGCATTTTTTAAGTTTTTCACTCTGTCTCCATCGCAGTATCTGGGAGCACTTACAGATCAGTTAAAAACATTATACCATATCAGATATCAACAAAAATAAGTTCTTCTCACCCATCTCTCCAGATCATAACTTCCCTAAGCAGATTTATCAGGAAAGTTCTGARTAAATAGCTGGGCTTGCTGGATGCCTTCAAGGGTAGTGCAGTTTGTCTTTGCCAAACCATAAGACAAGCAAGTTGTTGCATTAGCTAAAAGATCCTGATTAGGAAATGCCTTAATCCACAAAGGGATGTGTCAACCCCACCCTCACACACATAAATTCATATCAGTTAGATGCAAGATGGAAGTTGATCTCAACGTCTTCAGAGATGAAAGGAGGGAGAGAGGCAGCATCCAAACCATGCTGGGATTGAGAGAGCTCCAAAATGGAATTTGGATTTCATTGCAACTGGAAACACACTAGGAACCAGTTAAGCCTGCTAAGCGATAGGGTAGTTAATGACTGTTTCCATAATATCCCCAGTAGGTGATATCTACTGCCCAGTTTGATCTATATTATTTCACTTGAAGTACACTGTAGTCTAATGCCATGTTATAATATTTGTTGAACTTCTTAATACTCAGTCTCTTCTCGAAGGAACTATATGTCTGGCTGCTACATAGTGCATAGACTTTTTATGCCTTCACAGCCCTTGAAATTTCTTATAACGTTGAATTCATATATATACACTTTGCTTACAGATTTTAGAACCCTATTTTCTCTCTAATGTCATGAAATTCTTGACCTGGTAGATGCTGAAGTTAGTATCTAACTCTGTTTTTTCTCTTTTGTAAGGGAGAACAAAAATAAGAAGCTGGAATATTGTGTGCCGACTGCCATGGACCAGGAGGACTGGTTGCTGAGGTTAGGTTATATATTTAATCTTTTTTTTTTTTAGTTCTGAAACATTTAGAAACCTTTTTATTTGTTATAGTTTTGATGCTGAGAATTTTCCGTGATGTCACTATTTGTTTTAAAAGTGTTTTTMCTGTTTACATAAATTCAGGATCTGGATTTTGTTGTCCATCTCAACCAAGGTGGACTTCAATACCATGAAAGAGTTGGTCCTGTCAGGATTTCCAGCTGAATAGAGAACCCAAAGTACCAGAAATCTTGTCTGAATCCCTGTTTTCAGGGAAATTTCAACAAGTATTTTTGATATGTGTCATAAAAGTAGTCAACGCCAACTACAAATCTTCTAAAATCCTTCTACTGCACTCAACACTTTTGGCAATAAATTATTTTTTCTTTAAACTATCGCACTTAAAATGAAACTGTGACACCAGTTATTTCTCATTCCCTCTCAGAAAGTGTGTAAGGATAGGGTTCACCTGGAGGGTTTCATCCTTGGCTGATGGAGAAAATGCCATTAAAATTGGCTGTAGCTGCGCTGTGTGGTTGTAGGTTTGGCCAAGTGACATGCTAGGTGCTCAGAGTATATCCTTTGAAGCTCAAGCTCTGACAAGGTGACTGGTAGAAGCTGAAGACTAAATGTCATTTCTGTCTGCAGAAGCTCAGCAGCCGGCGGTACTTTTGATCAGATGAAATTTTCCTGCTGGGAAGAAGGGCAACGTGCGCTGGGGCTTTCATTTCATTTCAATTTGCTTTTGTAGAGATTTATAATTATTATAAGAAATGATTTTATAATGCAATGCTGTGTTGTCAAAGTAGGTTAGCTTTATGACCTGCTTTAAAAAAATAAATGCTGCTTTAATTAAAACAAAACCAAGGAGAGAAGTAGAGTCTTGTACCAACATGTTGCTGTCAGCACCCTGCTAACTGTCTGAATTGAACTGTAAGTCTCTGCTCARAGATACCAGTGCCAAAACAAAAGCTCATGGCACATTTAAAGCTTATTTTTAATTTGTATCTGAACTTGGTATTGCTGGAGGTTTTCTAATAAAAATTATAATGACTGTTGAGAATCGGAACACTAATGAACAGCAATCCTTAGTAGGCTGTCAAGTTTTACAGAAGCATAGTTGGATGCATTAATAAACCTGACTTTCTTCTTGCTTAACAGCAGTGCATTTCCATTACCTGAAATGGAGTCATTTTTGGTTTAACCTAGTACGAGATCAGAATCAGACTCATTAAATTTAGCCTTCAAGCTGCCGTCTTTCATGAGGTAAAAGATGATTTTACTTCTACATAATGGATGTCACAGAGCTCATCTTCAGTGCATGCTCACCCTGCTCGTAATTTTCTTTATTTGCATTACCTGACATGTGAGACAATATTAATGCTATATCACCCTGAAGTCTCTTTGACATCAGCAAATAGAACCACCATGAAAACCAGAGACTTCCTCGTGTGCAGGCACCACACATAGCCCAGTTTTCACCCTTTTGTCTCCTTCACAAGGTCACTTGTTTTAAACTGACATCTTAACTGTGTTAGTGTTACTTTATCAGAATTCTTTTTGTCTTAGAGCCCATCATGCAYCAAGATCTGAAGAGCTGTTGCATGTCTGAAACTGCCTGGCTTGTCTGGCTCAACATACAATATTTTGAAGACGTAAATTCTGGCTTGTATCCAAGTAAGATTTTGATTTTAATGTTATTCATCTTATTAATTTATTTCTGTTTAACCTCAGAGTAAGCGAGTTATGTAGTCCATAAGCTAAACTTCAAGATAGGCATTTATTTTTGAGGTAATTCTGTTATTTTTATTAAATTGTTTTAGTAAGGCCCCTCTCTGCTTGCTATTGGATCATGTATAAAAATGCAATGGTAAAACTAACTCTGGGTCACTAGTGAGTGATATGTACCCAGGACAACAGATGACAGTTTCTCGGTGAAGAGCAAGATTCAGGAACAAAACCAGGAGATGCAGATTGCTTCCTTGGCTCCAGCCCTCATTGTGATATATTTGCTTGGATCCATGCAGAAGTTCAGTAGCTGTAATAGGACTCAAGAAAATATTCTGAGTAGCTGTCAATACTAAAAGATCAAGGCTACACATGATGATGTAAAGCCACGTATTTGAAGGATGATTTATAGAGCTGCATATTTGAGGATGATTTATAGAAAATGAAACATTTTCTCTAAGAAATTACTTTAAAAAATCTACAGAATTCTTAGGTAAAAATAGGGGGAAAAAAGTTTAGGCTATAGTTCCTAAGTTAGCTGTCTTTGAGGAAAAAAAGATTTTTTTAGAAAAGGTATTTCTTCAGATGAGTTTGTCTAGTCTTAACATTACAAGCAAGCAGCTTCAGAAATTATAAAACCTTCCTTAGAACCGCTATACTAAAATCTTTCTTTCTTTCAAGGTGGATGCCACTAAAATCTTGCACGCTGCCTGGTATGCATTGAGCAACACTTATTTCTGTGCCAGCTCAGAGTTTGATGCAAAAAATGTCCTAAATAATGTTCCATTAAAGAACTCGTAAATCACTCCTCCTAAACATGTTTTGAGTCTTGGAAAGTTATGAGACATCAACARCCATAATCTCCTAAGAACTTTTCCAGAAAACAGGTATGATTTATAAAATGTATTTGTTACCATTTCTCTCTCACATTAGTACGTGTCTGGTCGTAAGGGTAGATTTTGAAAAGCATTCCTCCTTTTAAAGAGGAGAGATCAGCCTGCAATGTCTTAATCTCTCACTTGCGTTGCTTGTGGCTTTGGATGCCTCTTGGCCAGGGGCCATCTTTCTGTTCTGTGTTATTCTGGTGAGCACTGATTCACAACTATATTTCATAGACACCATCACACGGTGAATGGTAATGACGATCATAATAATTCTACATATCACCTGAGGCATTAAAACCAGTCGGGGAGATGCAAAAGTTGGTTCAAATAACTTCTGAAATGCTTCTCCAATACTTTTTCCAAAGCTACATGTCTGTGATGGGATTATAATTGTAAAATCCTATCAAGGTCCATTTAGAATGGCTTTGTATGCCCATTAGAGTACACGCTGTGAGTACACGCTGTCACGGAGCACATCTGCTACAGGAATGAGCCTGGTATTCCTCTCACTCTTATTAGCTTATTAAAACATTTTAAAAAATCTTCTCTATAGAGAAGAACTTCAGAGAAGTTCTTTGCTTGTCAGTCAGCTTCACTCTGGAAGACCGGGCAGATGTCCAAGTACAAAAAGTAGTGAGGTTTAAGATACAGCATGTTTGATAATGCTGTCCGTGGCTATACACATATGCATTGTATGGTTATTGTGCTGCTTTTTGACTAAGGGTTGAACCGCAGCTTCTCAGTTAAAATTTTATTCTTTTTTCACACCCTTTGCATATAAACACATAATTTACCTTCCTTTTGTTATAAGTGTATGTAAGTATTCAGTGGAAGTATGATGTTTGACATTAGATCGGCCCAAAAAGTGTATGTACTGTATGTAAGATCAGTAGTAGCCTTAGCAGGTTAGTTCGGGTTTTACCTGAGTCTTACCTGAGTTCAGTCTTACCTGACTCCCTGGAAATGGCAGATAGGTGGTTGAGCTTCAAGAGCATCTGGAGCTTCAACAGATGCTTTTATTCTTGGGCCACAGACCTGTACAATTTTCCTCAACGATGCTGAGATCCGAGGAAAGAAGAGAATAAACTTTGTTTTTAGGGCCTATGGAAATATCTCTGAGAAGTGTTTGCTAAATAAGAATGCATAGACTGTAAATAAGAATCTCACTTTGCACATTGATCTGTGCTGAATTCAATTTCTTATAAATATGCTAAAAAATTATGGATATATTTTCAAGGATATGGGGTGTATTCCCCTCATAGCAGTCAGTCTGAGCTATACTGCTCGGCAGTGAACAGGATTGTAGAAAGTGGAGGAGAAAGGAGGAGGAAAAAGGCGTTTTGTGTCAGGTAAACATTGTTCCTCCATTTTGCCTTAAAAAAACATTAACAGAAAAAGCATTTGAAATGCTCAGATTTGAAAATCTCGGACAGCTGAATTAGTTTCCATTATATAAAATCACTTAAGCATCTCTTTGCAATTAGAGAGATATAAGGAAGGAAAAGAAAGCACTTTTTCTTCCCTGATCAAATTTTCACAAATCAAAATGTCTCCCCGTTACCTCTTGGGATAAATCCAACGCGAGGGATCAAAAAAACTTCCCCACAGAGCCCAATGCCTCTGTCTGTAATGAAGTACAAAGGGAAACAACTGCTAACACGTGTAGACTTTGTACTGCGCCGACGACTTCTCCTCTATTAGCAAAGCAGACTGCTAATATGACATGATGGGACATTACTAATGCAACAGAGTGTAGCTAATGCAAACAAAATGCATTGGAGTGCCTAGTTGAACAGAATAGAGAATTTGTTTGTCTGGGACCCAGAAAATCAAATCCCTCAGAAATAAATCTCAGGGATAATTCAATAAACAAATCAAGCCCCAAAGACGCACYGAGCAGCTTGTGGACACTGGAGGAAAGCAGATGTCCACCCACCTAAATCCCACGCTGGTCTTTGAAGGGAGCTGGGTGCTTGCCTGTCCTTGGTACTCTGGAAAATCTCCTCCTGTGTAAATAATGAATGATGCTGTTTTGCATTGACATAATAACTAAGTGTATGTGGTTATCAATTAAGTCTGTAAAACTGCTACTCAAGCTGGGAGCTTTGCTGTCATTGAATCCAAGGCTGTTCATAGCAAGTGCATCTCTGAGAACTAGCTGGATATAATTTCTCTTAAAAAAAGGTAGCAGTGGTTTTTTATTTTTTATTTTTTGGCTTCTCTTCCCTCTCCTCCCTCCTCCTAATGACGATATTGTCGGTGGTAAATGGATAGACCTGAGCAAATTAGAGACTGCTATCCCTATTTTCAGCTGAGGGTAATATCTCCCACGGCCAAGGGCCTGCTTAGACTTTAATGCATTCCACTCCAAAGACCATCTATTAAATCGAATACTTGTGTACTCCAGTGCAACCTGAAGGGCTGTGGGCTTCAGTGGGAGCTGCTTTGCAGCCAGCAGCAACTAGTCGCAATTTGTTATTAAAACTGCAGCTCCCCACTGCTGGCTGCTGCTGACTACCATGAGGCTGCATTCTGCTCAAGAAACGCAGAGAAAGCAGAATCTGAGAATATTCCCAAGCTCACCTTTTAATGAAGGCATATGGCATTCAGGATATTGTTATTCGGGTAGTAATTGGCAACAGCGTACACATATTTATGGTATCGCTCATCATGCTTAGGAAATTTTGGAATTGCTCCCTTTTTATTGGCCATAAACATGCACCTAAGGTAAAGGTACATAGCAGACATAAAGAAACATGAATAAGTCTTTCTAATTATACCTATATATTTATGYACACACACACAAAGCCATCAGGAAAGGGGAATATATATATTTCCATTGTAATTACTGAACTAGAGCGTAAGCTGTGCTGTAAATAGTTTCAAATAAGTCTAAATGAGTAAATTTAATTTGTAATTGTCAAATGAAAAAAACAAATACGATGTTATGACACTGTTCCTAGGTATGTTGGGCTGTATATGACCATAAAGAGGATGCTCTGGAGTATTTGCAGTTAACTTTTGAACTTGATTCAACATTTGCAGTAAAATTGGAGCTTGGCAAAAAGTATAGATTCAGAGCAGAAAGAAAAGGACATCATTCCATATGCCTTTTTCTGTTGGAAAAATACAAAAGGGTTTTTTTTTTCATTTATTTTTTACTGATGGAAAACATGGAATATTCTCTATCCATTCATCCTTCMAACAAGATGTGAGCATTTAGGTTGTATCCTTACTAGGGAAAGCCTCTGTTCTAATCTGCAATAGCAGAATTAAACTCCTGCTGCTATAACCAGAGTTATCCATATGGAAATTCCTATTCCATTTCTGTTCCAGAATAAAAATATATGTTTTTTTTCAGTTCAATTATATAGGCTAACTGAGAAATAAGAGCTCTTAGGACAGAATAAAAATTCCACATGGAAAGATATTGAACAACAGTGGCTTAAATCCACAGACTTAACATTTCTGCGGCCGAGAAGATGTGTCCCTTTGAGAGAAGGCTCATTAAAAGCAAAATACTACTTCAGAGGAGTGGTGTAAAAGAAAATTGCTTGTGTTTCTATTTATTGGTACTGAAAAGGTAGCTATTTTGAACCAATTAATATATATATATATAAATATATATAATATATAATAAGTATATATATATATATGTTTCTCTTTGTTCCAAAATTACCAAAACTCACCTGTTTATTTAAGCAGAGACTTTTTGGATGTTTCTGAGTTCCACAGTGGGGTTCTCAGCTGAGTTCTAAGCAATACCCACGTTCTCTATATGCCAGTTAAAGATGTAAATACTGATTTTGCTAATGATCTGCAGCTGCTGACCTTGTAATTTTTGTACTCTGTGTTTTGAAGCTGGTATCCAAGCGCCTTCGCCGTCTTGCTCTAAAACCCAAAATTGTAGTACTTTTGTCCCATGTCAATAGTTGAAATATAATTCTTGCAAAGACCACCCTAGTGAGTCAGGATTTTGTACTTTTCTATTAGAACCACAATTCCCCTTTATTTTTCTGCTTAGACATCTGGTGTTGCAGGTAGGGTACTTTGGCTCACAGCATCTGGGCTGAGAAATGTTTTCTGTCCTTGGAGTCCCAGCTACTTCAGAAAAAATCCTTCAGAAACCATTTATCAGAACACACTGAAATGTTCAGTGGAATTTACTGTGAACCCCCCCTCTTCCCCTACGAACACTCTTGCCCCAGCCTCATTCCAACAGAGCAGTTGTTAACAAATTGGTTAATTAGCAGTGCTTTGCTGAGGTTTGCTRTTCTAAAACAGGGATAGTCAACTCCATTCATACAAGATTGGAAATGACCTTAACCACTGTTCAAAATTAAAATGGGGTTTGTCCTGAAATTTAAAAATCTCTCAGGCAATTATTTCTTCAAGTTACTGGCTCTCAGCATCTGTACTCATGCTTCTGGATTGCTGGACATCCTTTGCTGGCAGAGAGAGAAAATGAAGAATTTTATCAATAATGCATTAGCTTGCAGCGCGGAAGGTCTGCTTCAATCCTGACTTTGTCATTAATTTTACTCATAATCTTAGGACAGTTCTGTCATCTCCCTGTAAAACTGGAGCAATGTTACTTCATTTCCTGCATTTTAAGATGCCTCATTCACTTAGCTGTGAAGATTTTGTTTTGTTTTGTTTTGTTTTGTTTTGTGAAGGACCATTTTTGTAAGACTGGGCAGGACTGTAGTCTTATTACCATCAAGAAGTGTAAGATAACGTGATAATATTCATGAAAGTAAATTAAGGATGTAATGAAGACATAGCAAACAGAAGAGGCTCTTGCAACATTTCTGTCATCAAACTGAGACCAAAAATTCCAGAAATCCCGTGAAGCCACTTGTTCTTCTCATTTTTCTAGTTGAATTTTTCAGACTAGTGATATTTCAATTGTTTGG